GTATGTTTTGATTATGTGTATGTCTGAAACAAGTCTTGTACATCTGATTTGATTATGGTGATATCAGAAGCATCTAGAAGTGCCTGGCATTCATTAGATGTTGTATAAATACTTCCTGAATAAAATGTAGGTTATTTAGGTGACAGGCATTTTCAGCATGAGATCACCAAATGGAAGCATCTGTAGGTCTCTTCTTTGGAACTGTTCAGTTTTCCTGAGTTTTCCTGCAATCTTCTAGGTGTATACAGGCCTGAAGGTTGGCTTTCTGGGAGCATGGTGTGGAAGACATTGGGAGACCCACTGGTCAGTGTGTGATGTTCACTTCATCTGCCAGTCTCAGCTGCAACGTCTTTCTGTGCCTGCTGTCCAAATCTGGATTACTTAGGGTTCACTTCTCTAGAAAATAAACTTTAGTCTCTAGAAGAGTAGAATAATAGTCTCATTATTCTTAAAGGGCTGCAAATAATTCTTAATGAGATTCAGTTATTCCTCTCCCTGGAACTTCCTTGAAGAATTCAGGGTGAATGTAATGAGATTCAGGACCATATATGACTGAGGTTTTCCATCATGCAAAACCATGTAATTTCAGCAAAGCCCTTTCTCAACTGGTGCCAGAGTTTGAAGCCTTGATAACAAGTACTGGAAGCACACATTCTATGATCTCATGCATTGCCAGTATCCAACAGCATCACTGTTTTCTCACCAGCCATTTCCTCAACAGTCAGTAGGTTTCAAAGTGGCTTGTGGACTACTGGTATCAGAATCACTTGGGAAGCTTGTTAAATGCAGATACCTGTAGCCCACCCCTCTCCTTCTGAATCTGAATACTGGGTGGTAAGGCCTCAGTGATCCTTTCACATACTGACCACCACCAGTGACAATAATTTAGTCAGACATTCAGCCACGTATTCAGTTATTTAGAATTCTAAACTGACCCATGAATATAGTTTTATATGGCCTTTTGAGATTTATAGCAGGATAAATTTAAAAAGGTAAGAAAGAGAACCACAAGAATCTATTATTCCTTTCAAATTTCTAGTTTTTGGAGAGGTCTTTGATTGGCAGGGTATTGCTTCTGGGGAGACCATTTTTGCACCGGTGGATGCTAATTCTGTACCAATAAGATAAGCATGGGGAATTATGCACTCACAATTCTTCTTACCAATTTTCCAGGTTGGTGGATACCTCTAATCATAATATCCTCATTTTGTGTTTATTATGTACCTAAAATCTGCTCAAATCATATTGACAACAAACCATGCTCACACTGCCCTCTAGATAATTATATCATGAAGATCCATTGCAAGTTAAGAACCTCTAACGGTAACCGCTGGTTAATTTCTTCCATTTGTTCTTTCCTTTTCTTTCTTTCTTTTTTTTTTTCCAGTTCTCTTAGTCTCTTAGTGTCAGGAAGGTCTGATAATGAATGGAGAAGAAAAATCTCTATTACTATCAATGTAGCATAGGATATTTTTTTAAATGAGGATAAAAGAAAGACAGTGACCTTACTGTCAGTGGGCCTACATGGGTCTAGTCTCATACCAGATATTCTATTCAGGGAAAAGACCTCATGGAATATTTAGGAAAAGCTGTTACATGAAAGGCAATGTCATTTGGGAAGGTAACATTTTACAAATCAGCGTGGGGCCAGGATTTCTGGCACTTGGGTCAGAAAAGTCCTCAAGAGAACAGCAGAACATTGAAGGTTATTTCTACAATATTGTCATCTGATGCTGATAGCCCATGTGTCCTCTAATCCTAGCTCATGGCTATGGAGAACTTCAGCTTTCAGTTCCCACTATGACTGAAAAAAGAAGTAAAAGGATATTTAAAATAAAGAGAACTGCTCCAGCCTGACTATGGAAGAGGATAATGTTATGTGGATGCTTATACTGATGGCAAATCCTAAGCATACTCTTTCCAGAGAATTGACTCTTCTTTCAGGCTAAGTGCTACCATAGGCACTATCAAAGAACTGATTCAGGGCTTCCCTGGTGGCGCAGTGGTTGAGAGTCCGCCTGCCGAGGCAGGGGACATGGTTTCGTGCCCCGGTCCGGGAAGATCCCACATGCCACGGAGTGGTTGGGCCCGCGAGCCATGGCTGCTAAGCCTGTGCGTCTGGAGCCTGTGCTCCGCAACGGGAGAGGCCACAACAGTGAGAGGCCACGTACCGCAAAAAAAAAAAAAAAAAAAAAAAAAAAAGGATTTACATGAAAAGAGTTGAAAAGAAACGGTTTGTTGCTAAAGAGGTTTCTCTATGCTGCCACATGTAAGTGACATTTCTCAAGGAAGCTAACTAAAACAAACATTTCCTATAGTCTCCAAACTCTAGATCAGAATTGCCATTACAAGATTTTAGTGAATTGTACATGCTTACCTGTAGAACAAATAGATCTGACATATTCAGCAAATCTCTTATTTCTACCCTGGTTAACAATATCTCAGAGCAACGTGTATTTTAGTGGTTCTGCTCAACCAGCAACAGACATGTTTGTGTACATTTTCCACCAGTGGAGGAAAAATTGGGGCAGCCAGAATGAACAACTCCCCAAGGTAGAAAGTCTTAGATTGAGAATAAGGAGTACTGGTATATGGTGCCTGCTCTTTTATCACCTAACTTCACAGTTGTAGTCCTTAGTAGTTCACTCATCTGTGAAATAAGGGGGCGGACAAGCAATATCTTGAAACCTCCTTGGGTTTCTGACATGCTTCTGCCAATACGATGAAATGAACTATATGCATTTCTAAATTTGATTAGCAAGGTAAGTATAAATATACTGGTTATATATTAATGTGTAACAAATTACCCCCAAATTTAGTGGCCTAAAACAGCAATTAACATTTATTATGTTAAACAGTTGAGACTCAGGAATTCAGGAGTGGCTTAAGAGAGTGCTTCTGGCTTAGAGTCTTTCATCAAGTTGTAGTCAAGATGTCTGCATGGCTGCAGTCATCTGAAGGCTTTCCTGGGCCTGGAGAAGACGCTTTACTCACATGTCTAACAAGGTAGTGCTGGTGGCTGGCAGGAGGCCCTCAGTTCCTTGTCATGTGAAACACTCCATAGGACTGCTTGAGTATCTTCCCAATATGGCTGTTGAGTTTCTGCAGAGCAAATGACCCAAGAAGGAGCAAGTCAAAAGCTTCAATGTGTTTTATGACCTAGCCCTGTTACAGGTCAACCCTATTCAGTGTGAGAGGGGACTACACAAGGGCGTGAATACCAGGAGGTAAGAGTCATTGAGGGCATCTTGGAGGCTGGTAATCACAATACCAGTACCAAAAAAGAAATGGTCTTTATTATATAAACTAATCAGAAAAGTCATATTTAACCCTTTTTTAAAAGTTAGATATGACAACATGACATAGCTATATTTTTAATTTACCTGAATATTCTGAAGTCCCAATGCATTGAATCAAATTGAAAATGATCATTTGTCAATGATCGACTACATCCACCACGTGGCTTGCAGGATCTTAGTTCCCCTACCAGGTATCGAACTCGGGCCCCCTGCAGTGGAAGCCTGGAGTCCTAACCACTGGACTGCCAGGGAATTCTCTACCTTTTCTTTTATTCTAACTTGGGACTACCATCCTTAGGGGCATCTCTAAGTAAAAAGAGCAGTAGCTAGGTCCTTCTCTCCCACTACACATTCAAACACTTTGCTGGCAGCTAAATGGCAAGAAACTCAGGGAGGCAACTGATGGGGAGAAATGTACTCTGACCAACTGCTAAAACTGGAAAACTCACAATCAGCCCATAACATGGTCCCTTTAAAAGATCACAGCAAAATAGCTAACATGCACGTCTACTGCTACCATATGACTAGATTTTCCATGACAGTTCTAATTTTTAAACTTTTGTCTTATTGTCCAGATGTAGGTCAAAGAACATAAATCTAATTGTCAGATAGGCCTACATTCAAATTGCTACACTACCATTAATTAAGTGACCCTGGACAAGTCAGGTAATCTCTGGGAACCTCAGGTTTCTTATCTAATGCGAACACACACCCATCATGTGGCCCATCATGTGATCTTGAAAATCAGATTGCTGAATGATTTCTCCCACTCTCCAGCTGCCCCTCAGTGATCTCTACTTATCCTTTTCTAAACCTTGTGCTAGTCTGGATTTTGGCACTAAATAATCTTGGAACTGAACAAATCATTTAATCCCAATGAATCGATTTCCTCATTTGTAAAACAACAATATAATTTTTGCCCTAAACACCTCACAGTCTTAATTTGAGGATTATATTAAGATAATGGGTGTTATCAAAGGCTTTGTGAACTGTAAAGTCCTGAACAGGAAACTTTTTCAGTTTTCTCCCCAAACTGTCAATATAGACAGAAGTCTTTGTGATTATAAAAATTATATGTGCATTATACAAAATTTAGAGAACTCTTAATGTTTATCTAGTAATTAAAAACATTTGTACATATTTCCATGACTCACAGGTAAAAATTAATAATCCATTAACATTCCAATTTATATTTTACTTTAAACAAACTCAGTAAAAACCAAACAAAAATATTTTTATTATGGGAAATTTTGATTTTAAAAGGAAGCAGAAGGACAGTATTATGAACTCTCACATACTCATTCCCCAGATTAAATAATTACCAATCTTATGTCATCTAAACCATGCACCTCATTTCCAATTATTTTGAAAACAAATCTCCAGATACATAATTTCATCCATAAATACATATCTCCAAAAGATAAGGACCTTTAAAAACATAATCACAATACTACTATCACATATTTAAACAATAATGTCTTAATATCATCAAATATCCACTCAGTGTTCAAATTTTCTTGGCAGTCTCATCGTTTCACACGTTTAACCTGACTCCATCTGAGTTAAGTCTTCCGTTTCCCCTTCACCCTCCTGGCCCTTGTGCTTGCTTCCCCAGTCTTTCCCCTCCCCTAAGGTCCCTCTGAAAAGTGACTCGAGTGTCTTCCAGGCCCGGGAGAGCTGGGAGCACCGTTAAACTGCTGCAGACTGTGGACGGCGGAACTGAAGTCGCGCCTCCCCTTCGAGCTCCGCAGGGAGCTCTTTTTCAAATGCACTGAGGACAGTCTCCGCTCACGCGATTGGCAGCGGGGACCGGAAGCGCTTGGGAACCCGGCAAAGGATTGTGCCACGAGACGCGCAGAGAGCCTGGGTGCGCGGTTTCCACTGGGACTGGAGCCCAGAGGAAACCCCACCGCGGAAGCAATGGAGCGGAGCGCAGGAGACCGCACTGCTAGCGCCCTTTTCGCGGGGTTCCGGGCTTTGGGGCTTTTCAGCAACGACATTCCACACGTGGTGCGGTTCAGTGCGCTGAAGCGCCGATTCTATGTGACGACGTGCGTGGGCAAAAGCTTCCACACCTATGACGTGAGTGACTTCTTTCGCCCGCTTCCCGGGAATCACCCTCCCCGGCCCCCAACTCTGTCTGTGGCAATCCCGCTCTCCTCCGTCACCTACCAAGGGCTTTCGCCACCGCATTACATCCACGTGTTGATTTAGCCCTTGAAGTCTGCTTGGGAAGAGTTTCGGAGGCAGTCTGTCTAGGGGGAGGTACTAGAGAACGTTTCAGTTCAATAGCAATGTATTTGCTCTGTAAATATTTGTTGAAGTTCTCTTGAAGATGTAAATGTGATTTTAAAAACTCCCTGGCGCTACCACCTTCTTCATCAGAAAAACTTGCAAGCAATTTTGTGCAATTCGCGACAAGAGCTGGGTTAGAAATACAGGCTAAAAAACATTGGGATAACTGGAGGGGGTGCGATTAATTATGTTGTAGGGGACAGTCCACATTTGATAGCAAGCTAATTTCCCTAAACTTCCCCTGAGTAACTTTCTTAAAGTCACATAGCTGGATCAGTAACCATAAATTGGGGTCCACAAACTGCAGCCTGCAAGCCAGTTCTGCCAACAGATTTTGTATGACCCATGACGTTTTTATTTATTTATTTTTCTGTGTATGTTTGTGTTTATTCTAATATAGCATAATCTCCAAGTAAAATTTGCATAGTAGTAGGATGCAGCATAATCAAATTTTGACGTGGGATGGAGACATCCATATACTCTTGATTAAGAAACAGATTATTTAATTCATCTTCAAGGGCTCTTTCAGTCTTACACATCTCTAGGGTATGAATTTCTCCTTATACCCCTCTGAGCTCTGTGCTTCTGAGATGAATGGTTTTGACGTTTTTAAATGATTGGGAAATAATCCAAAGAAGAATAATATTTCTTGGCATATGAAAATTTTGAAAATTACAGTCTATTCATAAGTCAAATGTATTGGAATACAGCCATGCACGTTTGTTTTTGTGTCATATATGGCTGCTTTCGTGGTACATTATCAGTTGAGTAATTGCAACAAAAACCACACAGCATGGAAAGCGTTAAAATATTAACTACATGGCCCATATAGAAAACTATGTGTGACACCTACCCTTCCATCTGATGAAATAGTAGAAAATATAAGCTTTCCTAATAATGAAAATTAGGGTCAGTTAAGTGTCTCTTTAAGGAAGGACAGAATAGCAAATTTATGTATGAGGTTAGATCTTAATCTTCAAATGTTAGATTATTATAGTTGTTTTTGTTAGTAAAAATTTAATCATTTCTTTTTTCTTTAAGACAGGTTCAGAAACTTAGTCTGGTTGCAGTAAGTAAGTATAGACTTTATCCTGAATTTGTGCATGTTTAGTATCTTAAAATTTTTTGAAATTTTGACATAATTTAAGACTTGGAGAACAAGGACTCCAGCATATATTTATAGTAAACTTACATAGCAAGAACAACAAAAAGTCCAAGACAGGATCGTGTGTTGCCTTCAGTTGTCATGTCTCTTTGGTCTTCTTTAATCTAGACTAATTCATCAGACTTTCTTTGTGTTTTACAACATTTATTTTTCGAAGAGTATAGGCTAGTTCTTTTTTAGAATATTCTTCAATTTGACTTTTTCTAATGCTTCCTGATGATTAGATTCAGGTTATGCAGTATGGCAATAATAACAGAAATGATGCTGAATTCTCAGTGAACCATATCAGGAGGCACATGCTATTGGTTAGTCTTATTCCTGGCAGTGAAAACTTTGATCATTTGGTTAAGGTGGCATTTATCAGGCAGCTCCATTTTAAAGTTTCACCCTTTGTAACTAATAAATGTAATAAGTGGTAAGATACATTGAGACCATGTAAGTGTCCTTTTACTCTACAAAGTTTCAACTACTGCTAGGTTTATCATTTGGTGATGATTCTTGCCTGAATCAGTTATTAGTAGGATGATTATCAGTGATTTTCTGATTCTATCATTCTATTGTAAGAAAGAGTTTTCCCTTTTTCCGCATTTTGATATTTTTTTTTCCAATGGAAGGAATTTTTTTTTTTGAAAACTCTTTAATAGAATAAAGAGCTTGCCAGGGCTGAGAGATTCTAGTTTCACCATCAAATATGATCTTTGTAAGAGAAACAGAGCTATAAAGAATCCAGTGTACATGTCTGATAAACTTACATTTTTAAAATTATAGAAGGCAGTAGAAGGGCACTAAAACCTAAGTCAAATACTAAAGCGAAGGGTAAACCAATAAAAATAGTATTTTGGAAATGAAATCCCAAAGCAGAATATCAGCATGAAAGATACTTAAAGCGATTCTCTATATTTTAAGCCTCCCGTCCCCAAAATAGGAAATAAAAAGAAAAGGCCAGTGTGACCATGGTAGTGAGAGAGGAATCAAGAAATCCTATCATAAGAAATGGCTAGAGGTGATAGGCATATTTATCTTGGAGAAGACTGAGTGGAAACCATATTATTCACTTGAAAGGTCAGCATGTAGAATATCATATGGAGGTTTTTTTAGGTTACTCTAAAGGGTAGAGTTAGAGTTCTAGGCTTTGATTTACTTTTAAAATTTTCCTGCAGTTATTAAGGAACTTGATGTTCCTGAAGGCATTCACATGAAGGCTAGGTGACCATCTGCCAGAGTTTTGTGTATTTAGTGAGGATTTTTTTTTTTTCCAAATAACCTCAAAAGCTTCTTCTCATTTCTTTAGGATTACATTTTTATGTCTGCAAATACCAGACATTAATTCTCTAGGGAAGGTCAAGGTGATGTCATATTTTTAGTGTGACAGTTACTATTAGATGTCTAAAATAACATTGAAATCTAAATTTTATACTCTGATTCTCATACATACATATTTTTAAATTATAGTCAGGAAAAATGTTATACATATACTTGAGGTTTCTATTTGTTCCAAGATCTTAAAAATCCTTACTTCTTATATTTCCTTTTTCCTAGGTAACTCCCTTCCACAGGATATCTGTTGTATGGCAGCTGATGGGAGGCTAGTCTTTGCTGCTTATGGGAATGTTTTCTCTGCCTTTGCCCGTAATAAAGAGGTTTGTATCACTGAACTATTTTAATTTGTTTGTCTTTTGCAGTCAGTAGTTGATTGTCATGGTAGTTGAGGGAACTTTAATGTTGTTATTCTTCATCTGGGACACTCTGGACATTTTTTTTTTTTAATGTATATTCACTTTTCTGGAGGAAGAGAAAGTTGATTTCATCAAATTCTCAAAATTAGTTAAAACTGGTGCTTTAGTTCAGTTTTCTTTGCCAAGGATCAATGTTAGAATTATTTGCACAGCTTGTAAAACATTTTTGTGACCAGCCATGTCCTGTCTCTGGAGTTTTCTACTTTGTTTATTTGGTTGGGGTAGGATTTAGTTAAGAGTAGTTTGAAAATGTTTTCCTAAGAGATTCCTATTTGCACTACTGCTTTATGTGGATTGACTTTTTCATTATGAACAACACAGCCCATGACTCATTTTCTAAGAACCGAGTGCTTGTTTCCTATAAAGAGAAAGCTAGATTCTCTGTTTTCTCTACTAAGGAAGGATCTTTTCTTGTTAATTTACTCATTCGTTTCTAAGTTTGTCCTGGAACAACTGACTTGAGAGGTGACCTGGCTCTAGTGGTCCAGAATGAAAAGGGAAAGTGGCCATGGGGATGCCTAGATAGCCAAGTGATAGAATCACTGTGCTTTTCAAAGTTTAACTTGGACTGATGATGTTTGTTCCCAACATTTTCCATCATCACTACCTACGGCAGAGGAAGGCAACTTACCTGTACAGTTCTTTAATGGGAGTTGTTTTGACTTTTAGAGAGTCAGGAAAAGTGTCTTTTTTTTTTTGCAAAATATTGCAATTTGTAGTTTTCCCTGGGAGATAAACATAGAAAGTAGGGGTAGAAAGGTATCAGAGACTATCAACTGTAGGAAGCGGTTACCATCCCTAGGGCCAAAGGGACAAGGAGAAGAAATAGTGTTTCTGGAGCCTGGTGGGAACTGAAACCGTGGGGGAGGGGACTGTAGTTATTGAGGATGCAGCTGCTGCTGTAAGGGTAAGGGTGTCTGTGTCAAGACAGAAAGCTATATGGAAGGAGTATCCTATATCTCTCTCCCTTGTCTCATGTGGAAGCCAGCTGGTGATGGCTGTAGAGGTCAGCCTTCTAGAACATACCATCAGCATGGAATTGCGCTGATTGGATGGGGTGAGGGACCCAGCTGTGTGCATGCTTCCTAAGCTCGGTTGAGAAGCTGAGCCTCAGAGATCTCATTTCTGTGTTCCTAGTTCATGTTTCCTTATTGGACTGGCTGGGGGAGCAGGTAAAAATGCCTGATTCCTTGCTATTTGTTAATCTAACCTTGGGTAATCAAAAGCTGGACCACATTTCTTAACATGAGCATCTTCAGGATTAGCCTGTTTTTTGGATAATATGAATAATAATACATGATGAATGAATAATAATATGAAATTCCTTTGAACTTTGACATTGTAGGTAGTACATACCTTTAAGGGTCATAAGGCAGAAATCCATCTTTTGCAACCCTTTGGGGATCACGTTATTTCTGTTGATACTGACGGTATTCTTATTATTTGGCACATATATTCAGAAGGTAAGAACCAATTTATTGCTTTATCTTGGGGTAGTATGTGTGTAGCTAAAATTAAGTATCTAGGCAAGCATAACTTCTATATCAGAGGAGTAAAGCAGTAAAAAAAATTTTAAGAATCTTTAACACGTGTAAGGAAAAAGGTTCTAAGTAAAAAATGGGTAAGTATCAATAATTTTAGTCAGCTAGTTGAGCTGTTTATAACCTGCTTAATGTGTTTTTCTGAACTAAGACTAGTTCAGTATTAGTATAGCAGTTCTCCAAGTTTAATGACATGTTATATTATTTTCTCTGTGGGGTGAATTTTGGTGTGTGTTCACATCTGAGTAATACTTGGTTTGTATTTTCAACTTTCAGTAAGTGAAATTATAATAGTAAACTTGAAGATCCAGTAATCTGAAGGAAAATATACATCCTTTTTCTAAGAATGTGAGTCAGTGTCCTTTAACTGTGATATTCTTAAACAGTGTCACTGAGCTATGTTTATAGGACCATGTTATCTTCAAAGGTTAGGAACTTATCACCAGAATATCCCCAGCTTTCTTCATGTAAAAGACTGTGGGGTCTCTCATGAATTAAAGCTTTTAAGTTTTTTAATCTGTTACATTTTTAGCTTTTGTTATCTCTTGATTAACTCATTTTTTGATGTAATGTGTTTATTTTTAGTAAAAATCCTAGAAAGATTGCCCTCCTGGGAGTCATTCCATGTTCTTGTTCAGATTAGTCACTGTTTGTTTTGTCTTTGCTCAGATGGAGGGAACAGAATTCCAAAAGTAGTACCTGTGCAGATGGATGTTAAAAGGCCTTTTATAAAATTAGAGAACCTGATTCTTAGAGTTCAGTAGGCTTTCTGTTGATCCTTATGTCCAGCTTTTTGTTGCTGTTGCTGCAGCACAGTGTCTTCAGTGAGCTGTTTGTGGTGATCTTAAGTAAAACTGTTAGTTACGAACAGAGGCAAGAATCTTTTAAAATAGTATTTAAGTAAAATTTGTGTAATTCTCACCTGTTAATCTATTCTCCTTAAACTGGGGTACACATACCCCTGGGAGTGTGTAGCAACCAGATAGTATGTGAAACTAAAGATTAAAAGAAATGTACCTTCTCTGATATTCAAATTTATTAGGAAATTTAGTGAAAAATTGTTTTCATCGTGGATGAACTGTGAAGTAGAAAAGAAAATTCACACATAGAAATTTTAAACATACGTGGCATTTCAAAAAATGTTTTGATCTTGCAGCGAGAGAGAGCTGGCTGTGCCATTTTCTACTCCACGGGGCTATAAGGTCTTCTCCTCTGCTAGAGGTTCTCCTGTGAAAATGTGACAAGCACTGCTCCTTTCACTGAAGTTTGCCTCTGACTTTTACATGTTTGAGGAGCCAGTCAAGCTCTCTAGATGTTTGGTCCTTCACTCCCTAGAATAGCTCAGCTCAGTGCATGCGCGTCACTTGGAACATTTGCTGCCTCTTGATCAAATTATAAAAATACTAAGTCTGATCCCTAGCGTCATTTTTTTTTTGAACCCTTGTTTTCATTCCTGTAAACCAATTTGTCAGTGAAATTTTAAAGAGTATTGATATTAGAACTTTTAGAAAATTCTTGACAGTCAAAGTTAAATTTGCAAGTTGACCCTCATCACATTTGTTTAATTTCTCAGGGAATGTTTATAGGTTAGCATATGTCTTTGATCTATATTAGTACATAAATCTTTGATATGGTAGATTTTAAGTGCTAAATATATGGGTATATGAAAAATATTTTAAACTATTTTATTAAAAAGTTACATATTGTTTATAACTTTTACTTTCATAGAAGAATATCTGCAGTTGTCTTTTGATAAATCAGTGTTTAAAATTTCTGCAATTTTGCATCCGAGTACCTACTTGAATAAAATACTTCTTGGCAGTGAACAAGGAAGCCTCCAGTTGTGGAATGTAAAATCCAAGTAAGCACAATATTTAGAACATAAGTGATTCTTACCTAATCCTCATCACTACTCCCTGATGCGTACTTAAGTCTCTCAATTCTCCTTGCCTTTATATGTTTATTTGGAGAGCTTTCAGTAAATATACCTGTTTTTGGAGTTATACTCACGGCATCACATATGTGAAAGCTCGGATATGGTCTTGGAACATGGTAGGCAGCTTCATAAATCCTCGTTGAAAAGTATATACTAACGGCCTTAGTCACTGTAAAGAATTCATAAAGCTGTAAAGAAGGCTCTAGTACACAGGATCAGAAGATAATTATGAGATTGTCACTGGGAAGCTTTTAGTTCTCAGTAAACTAAGAAAGGTAAGATGGCAAAGCAAATCAGTGTTAATTTAGTGCTAACATTTAGGAATGGTTTTCAGGGTAAAAGTACATTGATCATCAACCACAGACATGACGGATATCTAGTTAATATTATTGGTATAGCTTGGGGTCTAGATAAATGATTTTAGATACCTCTGCCTGTTATTTGAACGTTTATCCAGAGAAAAAAGTGGCAGCTCACTTTTCTTTGTATAGCATTAAAAGGGCAAACAAAAATATTTGACCATCCAAATTGTTCTTTCCAAAGCCCTTATAAATTCGAAAAGGGAAATAAGATTTTCAGAGGTTTAATGTTTATCCTAGTTCTAATTCAGTGTTTCTGTTCAATTTAATAAATATCATTGACTACCTACGCTGCACTAGGCTGAGGGATAATGACTGAAATATTCTGTGCCCTAAGGTTATCTCTTTAGGTTCTTTATGTGATGTTTACACTCTTTATTGTACATTAAGTATCCCTTGGATAATCACTGAGTGATCTAATCTGTGCCCCTTAAAAAATTTAACATATGCTTAAGTACTTTGTCATTATAACAATTTCATATATCTCTGCTCTATGGATTCTTTATCATTTATGGCTTGATTCTGAAATTTAGAGCAGCGTCAGTATTGTCGTATAACAGTCACGTAACATACAAGGAGTATTGTAATTATAATATATTCCCTTTTGTGATATGTTTCTAGGAACACGTTGCAGTGAAAAATGAGATCTGCCAATATTCTAAGATTTTATTTTAAATTGTATCTGTCAGATAACATGGTTACTCATGTATTTTTTTTCTTTCTATTTAGTTTCTTAAAGATGTTGCATAGTAGAGTAGTTCTTAGCAGCTTAGGATCTGGAGTTGGTCTCTCTGGGCTCTGTCAATTTTAGCCATGTGATCTTAGCTTGATTTTTTTCACATAATTAAGTTTCTTAGTTTCTTTATCTGGAAAATGGTGGTATCTACCTCATGGAATTGTTTTAATATATATACTTAGAATAGTGTGGGGCAGAGTAAGAACTTAATAAATATCACCTGTTATTATTTCATTTTTTAATATGTAGTTGATTTTGTTTTTCTGCCCCCCCCCCCAAAAAATAGCTTTCAACTATTTTTCTTGTTGTAGTAAACTTCTGTATACATTTGCGGGATGGAAAGTTGGAGTGACAGCGCTTCAGCAGGTTAGTATTTTTCTGTTATGTCAAAGAAGAAATGAAGCTCATAGTAGTAGCATCTTTCAATTTCAGGGGCCAACCATATTTTTGGACCTAAAGACAAAATAATATATAGACTAGTGTATCTTTACAAATATTACCATAAAAAATAGTGTTTTGGAAATGTAATTGAAAACAGCGCCTTTGTCTATAAACATTTGTGGAAACCTTTTTGCCTGGAATTAGGCTCTAAATCTGGTTGCTATGGAACCATGTTTACCAATCATTTTGTAAGCATGTAGTCCAGTGCCTTGTAAAGAGCAGAGATGAGTTTTTCAGTGAAGCAAGGGAGATTTTAGGTCATTCGGAGAAATTTGTCAGGATGTTGAGATTTGTAGCTTGAGATAATTGGGGCCCAAATCTTAATGATTCATTAAATGCTTGACTTTTCCAGAAATAACTGCTTTTTGTTTTTATGAGTCTATAGGACATGTATGAATGAATGACTGTATGTCTGCAGAGAATCTTATATCTATTTTGGACACATATACAGCCATGTACCCTTGTCTTTCTAAATATCAGTTGCTTATACCTGCCCAGTTTATATACATTCCTTTATTCTCTCACACTACCGTCAGCCTTACTCTGCTTTTACCTACCCAGAAGACCCCAAAGTTATCAGATGATTAGGTCCTTTGAGGGCAAGACATCATACTTGTTTTAGTATACCCAGCTTCTACACAGGGTCTCATGCGTAGTAGTTACTTGATGGCAAATTAATAACATGTTTAGCCTGATTCCATTTTGTAATGGTATTAGACATTGATCTTGTGTGCTAAAATAAAGAAATTTATGGAGTCTGTATGTAAGACCATTTATAAAATGAAGATTATAGGGCTTCCCTGGTGGCGCAGTGGTTGAGAGTCCGCCTGCTGATGCAGGGGACACGGGTTCGTGCCCCGGTCCAGGAAGATCCCACATGCCGCGGAGCAGCAAGGCCCGTGAGCCATGGCCGCTGAGCCTGTGCGTCCGGAGCCTGTGCTCCGCAACGGGAGAGGCCACAACAGTGAGAGGCCCACAGACCGCAAAAAAAAAAAAGAAATGAAGATTATAATCATAGACTATTAGATTAGATATTCCATTATTTCTTCTGATAACACATAAGTAATGATGTACTCATCAGTATTATTAAAGCTATTAATAATTTGATAACACATAAGTAATGATGTAATCATCAGTATTATTAAAGCTATTAATTTAATTTGATTAAGAAAATAAAAAGTTGAGTAATTTAATTTTCAGGCACCAGCTGTGGATGTTGTTGCCGTTGGTCTTATGTCGGGTCAGATTATCATTCACAACATTAAGTTTGATGAAACATTAATGAAGTTTCGTCAAGACTGGGGACCTATTACTTCGATTTCATTTCGCACAGGTAACTTAACTTTTTTTTTTTAATTTATTTTTGGCTGTGGTGGGTCTTCGTTGCTGTGCAGGGGCTTTCTCTGGTTGCGGCGAATGGGGGCTACTCTTCGCGGAGGTGCGAGGGCTTCTCATTGCGGTGGCTTCTCTTATTGCAGAGCACGGGCTCAGTAGTTGTGGCACACGGTCTTAGTTGCTCTGCGGCATGTGGGATCTTCCCGGACCAGGGCTTAAACCCGTGTCCCCTGCATTGGCAGGTGGATTCTTAACCACTGTGCCACCAGGGAAGTCCTTAATTTATTGATTGATGAAAATTAAGAACACTTGAAATGCATTAGTTTGAAGCTCATAGAGATTTTCTTAATATTTTCTTATAATTTAATCTAATAGAAATGAATGAAATACTGGAATATAAAGAGCCAAAGGAATATTGATAGATTATTGGTGTATAGTCTTTTTTTAAACTTTATATTTATGGATTAAAAGGATGGAGAGAGAAATTCTTAAGTTTAATTGTTTTATGTTGCATGTTTTTCTTTATGTATTCTATTTTAACAACAGATGGTCATCCAGTAATGGCAGCTGGAAGCCCATGTGGCCATATTGGACTCTGGGATCTAGAAGACAAAAAGTTAATCAATCAAATGAGAAATGCACATTCTACAGCAATTGCCGGACTGACATTTCTCCATAGAGAACCACTTCTTGTCACAAATGGTGCTGACAATGCTCTCAGGGTACTATGATTCTTATCTTTCTTGGCTCATGTGTCCTACCCTTTGGTTATTATAAGCCTGCTGTACTGTGTCAGCCTGGAACCTAGCAGATGAAGGGAATATGGGATAAGATATTGATACAGATGAAATAGAACGCATAGCAGGTTACATGATTTTAGTAAAGTGAGAGAGTTACAGCTTAGCTTTTCCCCAGCCCCCACTCCAGGGTCAGTGGTCTGCACGCAATACCCAGTGCCACATTTGTATAGGAGATGATTTGACTGCTTGCAGATCACTTCAAACGTTGTGGAAGAACCTTACTTTTTTATTTCTTGGCAGATATGGATATTTGATGGTCCCACAGGTGAAGGCCGGCTTTTGAGATTCAGAATGGGACATAGTGCTCCTCTTACCAAAATAAGATATTATGGACAAAACGGACAACAAATTCTTAGCGCAAGTGAGTTTCTGCTTTGTGCATTAATTTATTTCAGCAAGTAATGAGAGCAGAGTGTTTAATATTTATTAGGTATTTAATATTTATTTGGTATTTACACAGTTTTAGATTCAAATGCCCCTTTGAGTGACTTGGAAATCTGGGTAAAATGAGGTGATTGTTTTTGAATACTTCAGGGAACACTGTAGCTGCTATTACTTTTATTTGGAGTGTCATTCTATTTACTAATCCTCAGAGACAGAAAGGGCAAATTCCAGAAATGTGGCCCTTGCCTATACAGATAATCTACTGGCAATTATTAGCACCTCAGTTTATCCTTTGTTCTTACTAAATGGCATTCTGTGTGCAGTTGAATATGATAAATTAGGTAGTTGCAATCAGCTCGCCTTTTAAAGTGCTGCAAACTAACTTCAAGCTTTTTGTAGAATCTAATATTATAAGAGCTGTGATTTAAATGGTCCATTGTTTCGATGAAGCTTGATTAGGCATTTTCTCTGTATATCAACAGGTCAGGATGGAACTCTTCAGTCATTTTCCACAATACATGAAAAATTTAACAAGAGCTTGGGACATGGTACGTCATTTGCAAGATGGAAAAAAAACTGTTGGTCACACACAAAAAATCATTTCGAGATTCTGTAAGATAATCAGAGGAGGTTTCATTGATAATTTCCTCTTTCTTCAGATGAAATAAAAATCCTTTGTATGAAAGAGTAGTAGTAAGATACTTAAGATCGACGTTGCTATAGAAGTGATTGAGGTGCTACTGTAAGGTTATTGAAGAGTTAGATATCTTAGGTGGTAAAAAACATCTTAAGTGGTAAAAACATACTGCTGCCACCGAAAAGACATTAATGATCTAACTTGAGCCATCTGCAGACTATAACATTTTAAAGATGGAAGGAAGCTTAGAGAAAGCATCAAAGTAAGAAGCATCCCATCTTTTTGCAAAAAGGGCTCTTTTATTCTGTATCCCTTCCCATGGTTTCTGTTATTTGAAAGAGTTTGTTTATTAAACAAAAATGTTCAGTTTTATTTATAATTACTCTTCTTTGCAAGCCAACATCCTGGCTATTCATGCATGTATATACTTCCAGATGAATTTCAGGATCATTTTAAAATCAATATCCAAAATAATTATTCTTAGAATCAAATTGGAGAGATTTGATATTTTTAAGAATCGTCACATCTAGGAATATGATATATCCTCATTCAAGTTGTCTTTAATGTTCCTCAGTGAAGTTTTTTTAGTTTTCCTCCTATTGGTCCTACATATTTAAGATTATTCAGTGGTATTTTATATATTTTAATATAATTTGCTAATATTTATTTTTTTGCTAATATTGTGACTGCAGTCTGTTCATTTATATTTCTGTCATTGTTAATACTACTGATAATAGTGGTAATACCATCTTTATTTTGCATCTGACTTAAATGGGAATACCTTGACGTTTATAGTTATATGACAATGAATAGCTTTTTTTATATATACATTTTTCATTAAGAAGGATTCATAGCTCTATTCCCTTCTCCCCTAACCACAGGATTAATAAATAAAAAGAGAGTCAAACGTAAAGGACTTCAGAATACCATGTCAGTGAGACTTCCACCCATCACAAAGTTTGCAGCTGGTAAGAAACTTCATACTGTGTTTCGAGTTCTGCTCTGTCATTTATTTCCTCCTATGTATTTCTTTATTTCCTCCATTTTAATAAATGTTTTTACAAATATTAATAAGCATCCGGAGGGTAACTCAAAATATATTTCTTTATTTCTCCCATTTTAATAAATGTTTCAGCAAATATTAATAAGAATCCAGGATGCACCCCAAGTGCATGCTAGTCTTGTGTGAAGACTGAAAATGAGTTATTTATAATTTGAACTTGTTATCTAATAATTTAGGCTTTGTTCTCTGTAAGCTATTAATAAACGATATTTGCTATTTCATTTTGTAGCTCTTGTATTTATTCTATTATACGCCTGGTATAAGAAAGTCACTAATGTAAAAAGGTGAGAACTGAGAACATAGAGCTCTGGCTAATTTAATAAACATCTGAACATACTGAGGTCTTAGTATACTGTGTCATTTGAGCAGTGCATCATTCGAAGAAGTGATTTTAAGAAAAATGTAGATAGGTGATAAGATTGTTGAGCAAAAACTATCATAGAAATAATTGTATAGGCACCATTTCCATTTCAAGGTTATTTATAACAACCTGATGACTGGTCTTTTTTTTTTTTAACTTTAACCCCCCCTCCTGTTTATTTTCTATCTTAGAACCTGAGTGGTCTTTCTAAAAGATCTGAATCATGTCATTCATATGCTTAAAAATCTTTCATGGCTCCTTATCACCTTTTGGGTGCAACCTCCTCTCCTTCACATGGCTTTCAAGACCCCTGGTAATGTGACCTAGTGGCCTTGTCCTCCTGCCACCCCTCTCAAGACACTTACTTGCTGTGCTTAATTTTGTACAGGTTACTCTTGGGCCTGTGTGTGTGTCTCAACCTCTCTCTGCTCTAGCAACCCCCCCCCACCGATTAATTTCTACTTGTTTTACTTCTTTCAGGGACCATTTATTACTCTCTCCAGTTCTCTTAGTAAACTCTTTCTGAGTGCTCTTACAAGACACCATCTTACTTTATTGTAATTTCTTCTAATCAGAATCTCTTGTTAGATTGGAAGCTCATTGCTCTCAGAAATTACCTGTTGACCATCCTGTCCCTAGTGCCTAATTACAACAGAGAATATTAAATGCTTAATAAATAAAATACGTGAATGAATGAGTGAGGGAATGAAAAGCAATTTGATTTATGCTTTTAATTATGTTTTAGAGGAAGCTCGTGAAAGTGACTGGGATGGTATCATTGCTTGCCATCAAGGTAAGCTATCTTGCTCAACCTGGAACTATCAAAGATCTACAATAGGTGCTTACTTTCTCAAGCCAAAAGAGCTGAAGAAAGATGACATAACTGCAACAGTAAGTGAACTTGTTTTTAAGGGCGTTTTCTCCTGTAAAACTGTCTTGTGGTTATCTTATTATACTCAAGTTTATTAATGATAATATTCATTGAAAGAACAAAGAACATAGTTTAACATTTTGAAATTTTTCCCTAATAGTGTTAAGTTTTCCAGCTTGGAGAGAATTATTTTAAGTTTAAGTTTTGCTTAATTAGATGTTGTATATTGGTTATTTTAATTTTCTGATTAATATAGGATTACTCAGGATACACTTTGAGGGGGATTTCAGCATTTATCAATATACTTTCGTACCTGAATTATGTTGAGTATATAGTACTATATTCAGTGAAAGTGAATCTTAAGGTTTCTTCCTTCCTTTTCTTTCTTTCAATGTAGGAGTAAGATTCAGCTAAATCTTTAATGAGTTAAAGATGTAGAAGTTATTTAAATCCTTCATTTCTTACATTTGTCTGATTGAGTACTGTCTAAGCCTTTTTTAAATATGGTTTTTAAATGCCACTGTTAACTTAAAACTTCTTACTCCTCTATTAAAATTTTATTTTGTTTTCTTTTGAAAATAATGTAAGTCGTCTATTGGGTTCAGGTTTTAAGGTATAAAGAAATGATGTCAAATTTGGTTTGCAGAATCGTTGCCTCTGCTTTTTCAAAATAGGTTTTACTGATATATAATTCACATACTGTAAAATTCACTCATTTAAAGTGTACAATTTAATGGGTTTTAGTGTATTCATAGAGTTGTGCAGTTATCACCAAAATCTAATCAGTCTAATTTTAGAGCATTCTCATCACCTCAGAAAGAAACCCTGTACCCACTAGCAATAAGCCCCATCCTCTCACTTTTCCCCTTTGCCATCTCCCCAAACTAGGCAACCACAACCTACTTTCTATCTATAGATTTGCCTATTCTGGGCATTTCACACAGATAGAATCATACAATATATGGTCTCTGTGACTGGCTTCTTTCAGTTAGCATTTTTAAGGTTAATGTTTTTAAGGTTCATCCATGTTGTAGCATGTATCATACTTTATTCCTTTTATTGCTGAATAATATTTCATTTTCAACTTTTGAAATTTTTTTTAGCCATTGATAGTTGGTGGACATTTGTATTGTTTCTAGTTTTTGACTATTATAAATAATGCTTCTGTGGACATCAGTGCACAAGTTTTTGTGTGGACATATGTTTTTGTTTCTCTATATTTACATCTGGGAGTGGAATTGTTAGGTCATAATGTAACTCTAACGTTTTTGAGGAACTGCCAACCTGTTTTCCAAAGTGGCTGCACAAGTTTATATTCCCACCAGCAATGTATAAGGGTTCCAGTTTCTGTATGTCCTAGCCAACACTTGTGCTTATCCGTTCTTTTGATTATTGCTGTCCCAGTGTGTATGAAGTAGTATATCACTGTGGTTTCTGATTTGCATTTCCCCAGTGACTTAACAATGTTGAGCATCTTTTCATGTACTTATTGGCCATTTCTACATCTTTGGAGAAATGTCTATTCAAATTCTTTGCCATTGTTTAATGGGGTTATTTATCTTTTTCCTCTTGAGTTGAAATAGCTCTTTATATATTCTGGATACAGGTCCCTTATCACATATGTCATTTGCAAATATTTTCTCCCATTCTGTGGGATGTCATTTCCTTTTCATGTTGGTATCATTTCACCATAAGGGGTTTTAATTTTGAAGTCCAACCTTTTTTTTTTTTCTTGTGGTTTTTTGAAAAACATTGCCTAACTCAAGGCCATGAAAAATTTACTCCTGTGATTTCATCTGAGAGTTTCATAATGTTAGCTCTTAAATTTAGATCTGTAATCCTTTTCGAGTTAATTTTTGTGTACGATGTCATGTAGGCATCCAAGTTCATTCTTTACATTTGGATATCTAGTTACGTCAGCATCATTTGCCCAAAACACTGTTCTTTCCCCATTGAATGGCCTGGGTACCCTTGCCAAAAATTGTTTGACATGAATGTGAGGGTTTTTTTCTAGATTCTCAGTTTTCTTTAATTGTCCTATATGTCTATTTTTATGCCAGTACCACACTGTCTTGATTATGGTACCTTTCTAGTAAGTTTTTTGAAATCAGGATGATTGAATCTTCCAAGTTCTTCTTTTTGCAAGATTGTTTTGGCTATTCTGGTCTATTGCATTTCCATATGAATTTTAGCATCAGCTTGTCAATTTTTGCAAAGAAGGCAGTTAGGATTTCGATAGGGTCTTGTTGATTCCACACCTCAGTTTGAGGAGTGTTAACCATCGTAGTATTACTCCTGATCCATAAACATGGGATGTCTTTCCACTTAATTAGATTTTTAATTTCTGTTAGCAGTGTTTTGTAGTTGTCAGTATACAAGCCTCATACTTTTTTGGGTAATTTTTCCTAGAATTGTATTCTTTTCAATACTGTTATAAATAGAATTCTTTCCTTAATTTCATTTCGGATTGTTCATTGCTAATGTATGGAAATATAATTGATTTTTGCACATTGATCTTGTATCTTAACAACCTTGCTGAACTTATCTATTAGCTCTATTAGTTTGTTAGATGCCTCTGCTTTTGAAAATGCATATTTCAAGTATAACCACATTTGATCCTATTTTGTACAAATTTTTTTTGTCAGTATGTATGCTCTGTTCTCCATAGTACAAACATCTACTCTTAAGCTTTTATCTGTAAGCCATAGAGAGTCTATCTTAAACTTCTTAAGTTTACCTGCAAAGTTTTGAGTAGCTATTGTAATAGTAGTGGTAATAATAATTACAGCTAACATTTTTTGTGTGCTTACTTTGTTCTAGGCTCTCTGCCTAGCACATATCAGTATTATATTATTTTCACAATAGTCCTATGATAATGGAGTATTGTTAGCCTCTTCTTATAGGCAGTAAAACTGAGGCTGAGGCTTACTGTAACGAGTAATATGCCTGATCAGTAAAACTAGTAAATGGAAGAGCTGGGATTTGAACCTAGGACCACTCCTTCTAGAACCTATGTTCTTAACTCATAGCCTATAATGATCACTCATAGAACATTGTGTGTGTGTGTGTGTGTGTGTGTGTGTGTGTGTGTGTGTGTGTGTGTGTATACACACATACACACACACAATGATACTTAACTGGTGCTGGGTTGGAGTCAGCTATCTGGAACAAAGCCAGGAGCCCATAAGTAGTAAACCAGTAAGTATTTATCAGAGAACCCATGTGCTAGAGTACAATTTGTTAATCAGAGGTAACCTTCTTAGCTTATTCATTTTTGCTTTGCTTGTGCTGTCTTCAACAATAGGTTAGAATGAATAAGTAAATAAGTAAAAGGAGACTTCCAGAAGCAGTCCCATTAACAGCAATAAATCCTATTAAAATAAATGCAAGTTCCAGAAAGTACAGCAGTCCCCCCTTATCCATGGTTTCATTTTCCATGGTTTCAGTTATCTGCAGTCAACTTTGATCTGAAAATATTAAATAGAAAATTCCAGAAGTACACAATTTATAAGTTTTAAATTGCATGCCATCTGAGTAGCACTGTCCCTCTCTGTCGTGAATCATCTTTTTATCTAACGTGTCCATGCTCTATACACTACCTGCCCATTAGTACAGGAAAAAACATAGTATATATAGGGTTTGGTGCTGTCTACTGTTTCAGGCATCCACTGGGGGTCTTGGAACATATTCCCTGCAGATAAGGGGGACTACTGTATAGCAGGGCCATCAGGGGCCATTACTTGTAGGTTATAGCATAGTATCTTTATTAGTTCCTGAGAGCATAAATATATAACATAGCATAAACATTTATGAGTTGTTCAGAATAGGTAAAATTATGTTAGTGTTCTATTTGAGAAGATAGATTGCTTTTTAAGGTTAGTCCATAATTTCCTATCTAAAACTTTTTTTAAGTTATAAGCTATAATTGTCTAGAAAAAATATAGATGTAAGTGGAGCGTACTTCTGTGGATGCTGTGTAAAGATATCTTGACTCAGTGGTGTATCAGTCTTATGCTGCTTTGCACAGTTAAATATCCTCTGTTGAATATTTTCTTTTAGGTCTTAGAAGTCATCTGTTTCTTTAGGCATAAATTCAACAGTTTTTTGAATTAACTCTTGGGTGGGTGACATCTGACTGATGCAGTGGCAATGAAGGATTTCTCTGAGCATGACCCACCACATAGCCAGTCTCATGTTTTTAACAGAAAAAAAGACATCTTTTTAATATAATATTTCTATTTTAAGTATTAAAATATGAGTTTATTTTACAGAAACTTTATAAACTAAATGTTTTCCATGCAGTATCTCATGTATTTCCTTCCTAATATGTTGTAATTAAAATATTTTGGGCTTTTTCATTGGACATCCCAACTGATATGGTTCCAGTTTTATATCCGCTATAAAAGGAATTACAAAAGTAAGGTAATGAGAAATTAGGCAATGGAATGCTTTGACTTTAGTACCGTTGTGAATAAATTAAAAATTGAAGACCAGTTGATATACCATTCTCCTGAGTGAATTTCAATTGAGTTAACTTTGGTTATGTTTTGCTGTCTTGGAAGTATGGATTTCTCCATACTTCTTAGAGAATGGAGATAGAATCAAACAGATATTTCTAATACACCCAAATATAATTACATTATGTTTAAGAAAATTAACGAAGCAATTCATTTATCGTTCTTTTTTTAAAAATGAGATAATTAGTAGATTTAAAAAAATACTTTGGAAACCATAAAGTACAATAAAAATGTTAGCTATTTTCTGTGTCATTTGTGTTAATTTTTTTTCCCTTAAGGCAGTGGATATAACTTCTTGTGGAAACTTTGCTGTGATTGGTCTCTCATCAGGAACTGTAGATGTATATAACATGCAGTCGGGTATACACCGAGGAAGTTTTGGCAAGGATCAAGGTATTGAATTTATTTTTCTTTTTCTTATTTTTAAAAAAAGTAATATACATAGATAAAAGGCTAATAACTGTCGCTGGCATTTATTAAATTCTTGAGTGCCAGTCATTTTGCTAAAGTTGTATATGGGTTATCATCAGCCGTATGTGGCAGTTCCTGCCATTATATCTATTTGAAACACCATGTTGAAATAAAGAGAATGAAGTCATAGTTGTATTAGGGGAAAGTGGATATTATAGAAATTAAAGGTTCTTTTTTTCTTCTTGCATTAAGCAGAAAATCTTAACTATTTTTTGAAATCTTCATGGCATCAACCTGATGGATTTTGTTATTACTCAAGTGGTATAATAATCTTCTCTCTGCTCCCTAAAATCCATATTAATTTAAAGATTTTAGGGGTGTTAAATAGTGGGAACTTAGATATTTAAATAAAGGAATCACTGTTTGTGTAGTGTTCAGAGAGTCAGTTGCAATTCTTATTTCTTTTTTCTTTTAACATATGCCTTAAAGCCCATAAAGGATCTGTTAGAGGTGTTGCAGTGGATGGATTAAACCAGTTGACAATTACAACTGGTAGTGAAGGAGTACTCAAGTTCTGGAACTTTAAAAACAAAGTTTTAATTCATTCTATGAGCCTTGATTCATCTCCAAATATGATGCTGCTACATAGAGACAGGTAAAGTTTTTCTTTTAATGATAAAGGACTTTCTTCTTGATGTTTTTAGTTCTTAATTTAAGTACAGTAGACCTTTGAACAACACAGGTTTGAACTGTGCAGGTGCACTTATACACAACTTTCACTAAATACTCACTGTAGCGCTACATGATCCACTGTTGGTTGAGTCCACAGATGCAGAACCATGGACATGGAGGGCCAACTGTAAAGTTAATATCATCTTTTTTTAAAAATTTTATTTTTGGCTGCATTGGGTCTTTGTTGCTGCACACAGGCTTTTTCTAGTTGCGGCAAGCTGGGGCTACTCTTCGTTTCAGTGCGTGGGCTTCTCACTGCGGTGGCTTCTTTTGTTGCGGAGCATGGGCTCTAGATGCGTGGGCATCAGTAGTTGTGGCTCACGGGCTCTAGAGTGCAGGCTCAGTAGTTGTGGCACACGGGCTTATTTGCTCCGTGGCATGTGGGATATTCCCAGACCAGGGATCGAATCCGTGTCCCCTGCATTGGCAGGCGGATTCTTAACTACTGTGCCACCAGGGAAGTCCCCCAGCTATAAAGTTATATGCAGATTTTTGTCTGCAGAGGGGTGGCACCCTAACCCTCATGTAAACTGGTCAACTATAGGTAATTTACCAAGTGGGAAAAACCAGACTTTTCATATAAAAGAACAGCATTTTGCTTAATTTCCCCCAAAAGTATACGTGATTAACAAAATTTAAATGACTGTGAGATTTTAGTTCAAGGGGTTTTTTTTGTTTGTTTTTTCATTAAAACTGTTGCATTTATTTTGCTTAGTGGCATTCTGGGACTCGCCTTGGACGACTTCTCCATTACTGTTTTGGACATAGAAACTAGGAAGATTGTCAGAGAGTTTTCTGGACACCAAGGCCAAATAAATGACATGGTAAAACAAACTTTAGATGTTTAAATAAAACTTGATTCATTTCTATTTCTGTTTAGATTTAAAAAGTTCAAATAATTGAAACTTTTAATAGCATTAAACTCATCATAGGAGATGTTCAAAATGAATAATTAGGAGACTAATTTTCAAAAAAGAGATTTTTAAGGAAAATTTAGAATTAAAAGAAGTTTAATATTTCCCAGGAAGTTAATGCCATTAAAGTATAAATCCCAGAGTTCATTTTTTTCTCTTTAAACAAGGCCAAAATATACTTTGGAGAGTGAATCATTGAAACATAAGTGTATCATTTTTGACTTAATATTAAACTAAGCTGAGAGAACTCATTTCTGTTTTTCTACATTCATAATGAATTAATAGGAGACCTGGAATATCTGATTCTTGGTTCATTCTAGTTTAGTGTTATTTCTACAGTTTATATATCTTAACTTCAAAAGAATTTAATTAATAAAAATGTGTTTTAGCTTACTATTATGCTGTTATAGTGAGAAATATGGTAATAAGTACTCTAGTTTAAAAAGTGTAAGTTGAAGACTTTGCATCAATTGCAGATACCTTTATTTACTTGAAACAGAAAAAATAAAAGAAAAGAAAATCCTACATAGTGACACTCCCAACAGCTACTTTTATTTATCAGTTCTCACACCAAAAATCTGAATTTGCAATGTTTACCCCCATTTCCTTAAAAATCAGGGGTCGGGGGTTAATGGTCGGGAAATTGTGTTATTCTGCAGATAAGAGATTGGCAGAACTACCCATCAACAGAATTTGTTGTGACAGCATCTATAGAAATGGGGGTGGGAGTGGAGTAATTTTGATGAAATTGCATTTTTGAAAACATCTGTCAATGCCATCTTGCTCTTCTTATTTCTTTCCTTTTCAAACTTTACTTTCAAGTTATACGTCTGGAGTTTCCCCTAGTCAATAACAAATTACTCCTGTTCCATTAAACCTATGAGCATTTATTACATGACTTCACCTATCAAAGTCATTTTCCCATACTTTATTATCTGCACTATCCTTCTGTAAATTGAGTTCTCTGCATCTTAAGGTTTGAGTTTCCACAGTATCATCGCAGCCCCATGACCAAGTTGGAGTTCACTTATCCCACTATTATTTGCTAATATGGATGGTCATAATCCCTATGGTGTGTTTACACTCCTCGATGAACAACCTACTACCATTATAAACCTTAAAGTTTTTCCTTTTGGGTCTTCTTTTACATTTGACTTGGTTTAAAGCTCATGTGCTGCAGGAAGAGAGCTATTATTTTTCCATTTTTATCTACAGAGAAGATATAACTTCTTCATGGTGGCATAAGTAGTTTATTATTTAAATTTATTTTGAAAATCTGATTATTGGGGTTTTAATTTATACTTTGGAAATAAAAGATCATTAAGGGAGAAAAGACTTTTAACTGAATCTATAAGTACAAGCTGAAGGACTTCTTTAGTAACTTCACTATATTAAGAGAATTTGCATTCTTCAAAATCATTCTTAGAAAGCCATTCTAACATACAGATGCTTTTCAAGGAAATGGAGCTTTTGTTGCTTTCACAGATACTTTATTATTGAAATTAGGCTCACAAAATATTTCTAATAGAATGTTCTCAAAACAGTTTTATGTTAAAAACAATTAGTAGTTTGTTAACTGTCTATAAATATAGGAGATTATGGGGTAGAAATTGAAAATTGGGTGAAACTGTTCATTTTTAAAACTTTTTATAATTCATGTAAAAGCTTAGTCCTTAGCTGTATCCAAATCAGTGGTATATAAGATGGCATTTTATGTAATAAGATGTAAATTTTATACTTCAAACATTTTTTAATGAAGCATGCGTTATCTTTTCATTTCTTGTATTCTTTAAGCTGTTAAATATACAGACACAAACATACATACAGAAATACACACATATACACACACACATATATATGTATTCTTTTTTTATTTTTTTATTTTTTTATTTAAAGGCTTTCAGTCCTGATGGTCGTTGGTTAATAAGTGCTTCAATGGATTGCTCTATTAGAACTTGGGACCTTCCATCTGGATGGTGAGTTTTTAAATCTCTAACCTTATCTGAGGTTTTCTCAGTCATTGTCATTACATGTGACTTTTACCTGTTGTTAATGGATTATGTACTTTTAGAATGTGAATATATTTGGGGAGTTTTTCTAACCTGACTATATTTTATCCTTGTAGTGTTTTTTTATCTCAAACAGCAGAGATTAGTGCCATAAAAGATAATAGGAAAATCCAACCTCTTAGGTTCTCTATTCCTACAAAATTGAGATATAGAAGTGAGTTGCATAAACCTTAAGAAAGCACATTTGACCTTTTTGATACTCCAAAGTAGAGATCATACTTTAGGACTACAAACTTTATTTTGAGTATTTTTTTGTTTTTGTTGTTGTTGTTGATACTGAATTTAGTTAAGAGATCAGAACACTTTGCTTTGTGTGTATTATATATTTTCTGTCTCTAACATAATTCTTGAAAAAAGACATTTAGATACCTTAAAGTAATGAAAATGTGTGTCTTAAGATTTGGGTAAAACCCAACAGTGTTCAGAAATCTGGCATAGATTGAAACGTGCTACTAAAACAGCACTTGAAGAAAAAACATTAATTCTGTTCAGTAATTTGAGAGAGAGTACTTTGTTGTTAAAAATTATGTAGGAATAGATACAATTTGAAATCATATCACTTAACATAGAATTGCTTAGATTGAGTTTGAAAGGAGTGATGGGAAAAGGAACATACCATAAGAAAAGAGATACGTGAGAAAGATGAGAAGGAAGCTAGTACTTTTCAATCTTTTGAAATGTTCCTAAACTAAGTTTTGTCCAATTCTACTACTACTCTTCTTTCTCAGGAATTAGATAAGCTCATACCTGAAAGCAATTTGACCTTTAGAAAGGAAAAACGCTGATGTACTTATTTCCCTTTAAGTTTGATAAAGGAATGAGGCAAAGCTGTCTATACAGCATACATACTGGATTTGGAAATATGCACAGCAAGAGTGTCACTAATGGGTCCAACTCTAATAACTAGGGAATTTGGTCCACAGGTGGGTCTCTTTTGTACTTAGAGTAAAGCAAAATATAATTAGTTGCCTGTGTCCTTCAGCTTCAAAACATTCACCTCAAGTTGGTACTTTCTTAATTAAAAAAAAAACACAACTTTTTTCTAAAGGTACCATTAGAAATATTGATTAGTCTTTTGCTTCTTGGACTTTTGCTTCTATCTAAAAGTGAACATTATAATTTGAATTACTTTACAGTAGGAAAGTTGTACAGAAAATAGAGTTGACACAGTGCCCTTTTCATTTTCCTTTTTAGTAGTTCAAGTTCACATTAGATGGGAGAGACAGGTTAATGTTCAGTAGTACTACACTAGCAAAATATTTTTTTAAAGTGGTAAGGTTTTTTTGGAATGGAAGAATTAGGATCTGAAAGTAGCGTTCAAAGCCACCAGTCTTTGACTCAGCATTAGCCTTTTTTGCTGAATTTCTTATTTTAGTAAAAAGATGAACAGATTCAAATCCGATAGATTTTCAACTCTGGTATCTTATTTTTCGGTGAACACAGGCAATTTTAAGTGAATACAAAAGCATTAAGCTGGGAGAAACACCAGAGCAAGAAGTGAGTCACATAGGGATTGTTTAAAGAAAATATAATGATTGGACCAAAGTATATTTTTAATAAAGAAAAAACTACTTTTTTGGTTAAGATTTGAAGTGGAGTAAATGAGAAAGGTTGAAAAGCAGTATCATACAACTGCTGCTGCCTAACTGCAGCCAAGCTAACATTTACCATGAGCTGCTATGCACTTGATATACTTTTATTTTTCGTCTTTTCTCATATCCTATTAGGTATAGGTACTGTTTTTTAGTCCTGTTTTACAAATGAGGAAACGGAGGCTCAGAGAGAAGTTAAGTAATTTGCCCAAGGCAACATAGTTTGTTAATGAGATTTTGCTTAAGCATAAGCATAGGGGAAAGACATTTCCCAATAGTTGTGATATCCGCCTTGCTTGGGTTGTGTCATATGTTCTAAGGATGATTTGGTTTTCTTGATGTAGAAGATAGTAAGGAAGTAAGGATCAGTATTTCACCATACAACCATAGGTAACTGTTGGGTTTTTTTGTTTTTGTTTTAATATTTATTTTTTTTATCTTGGCTGTGCTGGGTCATAGTTGCGGCACACGGGATCTTCACTGAGGCATGTGGACTTCTTAGTTGCGGCATGCGGGCTCTTAGTTGTAGCATGCATGCAGGATCTAGTTCCCCGACCAGGGATTGAACCCAGGCCCCCTGCATTAGGAGCGCAGTGTCTTACCCACTCGACCACCAGGGAAGTCCTCTGTTGGGTTTTTTGATTTCCCCTATTTGTTTTAAACATAATTAGTATGGCAACCTTTGGAGAGTCCTAGTTTTTTCTTCAGTAAGCAGTTTTATCATTTACATAACATGTTAAATATGCAAAGAATGAATATACTCATTACGAAGACTAAAAAGTGATACGTATGAGTAAACCTTTGGTGTGTGTGGTAACATACAGATGTATCCATCTGGAATTGTGCCTATCTAAAACAAATTGCAGGGACTACTTGGTGGTGCAGTGATTAAGAGTCCACTTGCCAATGCAGGGGACACGGGTTCGAGCCCTGGTCCAGGAAGGTCCCACATGCCGCAGAGCAGCTAAGTCTATGCACCACAACTGCTGAGCCTGTGTTGTGGAGCTCACGCCCCAGAGCTACTGAAGCCCGTGTACCTAGAGCCCATGCTCCACAACAAGAGAAGCCACAGCAATGAGAAGCCCGCGCACCGCAACAAAGAGTAGCCCCCGCTTGCCGCAACTAGAGAAAGCCTGCATGCAGCAACGAAGACCCAATGCATCCAAAAAAATAATTAAAACAAATTGCATAGGTACTGAACTGTTTACTGTAAAGGTTTTTTTGTTTAAGTGCTGAAAATTTTCTTGTGTTTGTAGGATTCTCAGAGAAGCAGAGTTGAAATTTTTTTTTAATTTCTTTTTTTAAATCTTTATTATTTTGATAAAATACTGCTTTAGCACAGGCTCAGCAGTTGTGGTGCATGGGCTTAGTTGCTCTGTGGCATGTGGGATCTTCCCGGACCAGGGATTGAAACCCGTGTCCCCTGCATTGGCAGGCAGATTCTTAACCACTGCACTACCAGGGAAGTCCCCAGAGTTGAAATTTTTTATCCCTGAAATTATCTGTCATCCCCTACCACTACCACCTGTAATTTCTGGTTGCTTTTAATCTCCTAGAAGTTTAGGTTGAACTCTTTTGGGGGTGAGAAAAATATAAAATTATAAATAGTTTTAATAGAATTTTGCATTTTTTTTTCTGTCTCATTCACCTGACCTTGCTTTCTGAGGAGCATTACATGAGAATAATTGCAGTAGAACATTGTTTTGCATTTCTCACTGAGGCAAAACTATCCCTTTATTCTGTTCATTAAAGTTTCCTTTGTAAGGTGATTCCGTCACTCTGGAGACTGAACATCTAGACATTCTCTGCATTTGTTTAGAATATAATCAGAAGTGGGTTAATGTTACTTATGTTTATGAGGAGCTTTGTACTTGAAAATCTGATCCCTTAAAATGAGAATTTTTTTTCAGTTTTTCTCTCAAAAAACATAATTTACCTGAGACTTCATTCTGTAGGATTAGCAGGAGACTATATGGTAGTTAGGTCTGGGGACTTAAGCTTTATGAACTAATTTGGTCATGTAAAATATGCTATGGATGTGGAAACCACCTTCCTCAGTTTGATGCTTTTACATAATGGAAGGCCAGCCTACCCACACACAACAGCTGTGGAAGTCACATTGCACAACGAATTTGCCAAAGCAATTATAGTATCAAGTAAAATAAATTTGCTCAAGCAGTAGATTTCTCTTTTTAACAGATAGATTCTGAACATGTTAGGGAGTTTCACCCCTCACACACTTACATTTGTAGTGAACAAATATTAAGACAAAGAAGAAATGGTAAGATCTGAAATTGCTGAGTTTAGGTTTAATCATCAGTATACATGGAGATAAAGTTTCTGCTCTGGGTTGTTTGCATTAAATGAATTAACAAATAATTTTACAGTCTCTGGTTATAATAAGTGTTTAGCAATCGTCCTTCTCCTCAATTCCTTTGATCCCCAAGAGCAGCTGTTCTTGTGAGTTTCCAAAGAAGGGTTGAGCAGAAATCAGACAGATTATTACTCTTTTTTCCCCATAAGTGAAAATTAAACATCAGTCATTGTCCTGAGCACACTTTGGTTTGTTTGTAGTGCTCCTAAATTTAGTCTTGTCCTACTACCTAGTTAAGGTTCACATTGTTAATCACTCTGTGAACACATTGAGAGAGATTTTATCATGGATAAGTCATTTAATGCTTCCATTGGAAAGTCTTCATCTTGAGCTGCTCAGAGTGTGCTTCATGAATCACCAGGGTAGGCATCTTTTGGGTGTGTGTGCTATCAAACTGTCGAACCTTTAGTTTCCATAATGGTTTTACTGAGCTTATAGTGATTAAGTGTGCAGACTGCTTGGTGACAGATATGGCTCAGTTACTTTCTACCTTGAGCAAGTTTTTAAATCTTACTGGGCCTCATTTTTCTAATGTGTATAGTTAGGACAGATCTGCCTCATAGGGTTGTGAGGATTAAATCAGTAGGCACAAGTGCTCAGGATACTTCCTAGCATGGAGCACTAAAAAAGGTGTTAACTCCTGTCATTTGCTTTCTTGAAATAATTTGGTTTATTTAATGTAGATTCTGAGCTTCAGTCATCTTGCCATGCCTTCTCATGGATAATGTATTGGCTTCAGTGAGTAAAGTAGTTTTTAAAACAGCCCTGATTAAAACCAGTATACTCCTCTTAAAGTATACAAGGTATTCACACTCTTAGCCAGCCTAAGAAGCCTCTTCTGCAAGATGCCAATGTGTTAGGCCTTCCTTTTGCTCCTTAAATTCACCTCGTTAAATTTCCTGCTTCCACCATCCTAGTTCAAATCTTCACTGCTTGTTAGATGACTACTACCATAATCTCACTGTTCTTTCTGTTCAGATATATTCTACATTCTGCTAGCAGATTTTCTTATGAAAGTGAAGATTACAGCACTATCTGCTCAAAAGCCTGTAGTGACTTTCCATTTATTAAAAGACAAAAACAAACTCAGATGTTTGGTATTCAAGACCAAACTGCACTCCTCGCTAGACAGTATTTTCCCTCACCTTGCCCTCCACATTTCCCTCATCCAGAAGATGCTTTCTTTACCGTCAACATCCATTGAATTCCTGTCCATTTGTAAGGCTCACCTCACACACTGTTTTCTGAGAAGCCTATTCTGAGTCTTCTTCTTGAGTGTGATTGCTCCCTTTTCCTCCCCAATTTCAACCCCTGCTCATAGCTTTTTGAAGCTGTGAGACTAGTGCTGCTTTATGGTTATGCTCTATAGACTGAATTTTCATGTTTCATATATAGCATGGTTACCTATTTGAAAAACAGAATTGCTCAAATTTTTTTTCTACTACCATTCCCTTATTATTTATAATGATTTTATTACTTTCTTCTGTTGCCTACACCTTTTATTATTTTACTGAAATAACAAATACAGGAGAGTACTGATAATCTATTTTAAACGTGTGACATCTTTAGAATTGTTTCCAAGTCTGCCAAAATGGCATTCCAGAAAAACAGCATTTCCTCCTGTATTCTCCCTGTTGATGAAACTCTCTCCAGTTAATTGGTCTATTTAGTGCTCTGCTCTGGGTCGTTCTCATTAAGGAGATTATTTTCACATAGTAACTTAGTTAACAAAGCTCTTTGTTAGTGATGACTTTCTGGTGTTGGTGATTTAAAAAAAAATTTCTGCATCTCTTACCCTTTGTTTTTTTAGCAAAAATGTATTTTGTGAATTATATCCTTTTGGTAGAGTTCAAATATTTTAACATCTTGATTCTTTCTATAGCCTTATAGACAGCTTTTTGTTGGACTCAGCTCCTCTTAATGTTACTATGTCCCCTACTGGAGACTTCCTGGCCACTTCCCACGTAGACCACCTTGGAATTTATCTATGGTAAGTTCTTGTATACAGTTCTCTTTGGGGTAAGAAGGAAAAGGAAGACGATATTGTCAGACAATCATAGTTGCTAACATTGCCCTTTAGGTTTTTTTTTTGACTTATAAAATGGAAATGTCACATAGTTCACCGTAAGTCTATGACTAAGTCAACATCTGCTTGATAATTTAGATAGCTTTGCTCAAGTGTGTATTCTAAACCACATGATTGATTTTTATCTGTTATACTATTTGGCTTTTATTTGCGGAAAGGATAAGTGAGTTTAAAAAATCTTAGAAAAGGGATATCCCCAGCCAGGCTGGTCTTCCTGCCACTGCCTCAATACCCCTTTATGACCTTGGCTAGTCACTTCTCAACTTCAGACTCCTTTATCTATAAAATAAGGCATAAGTATGGGCTGAATGCTTTCTAAGATTCATTTTAGTTGCATAACTTTTCATAGCCACGTACAGATCTTAATGGTGGTCTTCTAATGGTGATGAACATAGAAGAGTTCAAAATAAATGATCCATTATCTGGGTCTAGAAAATTTTTTGTTTGTTTTCTGAGTTTAGATGCCTAATTCTTTTAACTCTTATTATTGAGGAAGAGGAAAAAATGAATTCCTTTTCTAATTACAAGATTTTCTTATTGGCTTTTTAGGATATGAAAGTAAATTCACTATATGATAGAAATAGATTCTGGCCATCTTAAGCAAAATGGGGTATCTCCTGGAATCTTTGAGGCTTGAACAATCAAGACAAGAGAAGAATGGTAGCTGTGGTCCCTCATCAACAAGAGCATATAGTACAGCTATTAACTCAGAATCTGATATTTCCAATTTTTATTTTCCATTCCAGATTCATTATGTTTGGGAGACAGAATGTGATTAGCCCACTTTGGGACAGGTATCCACATCTTGATTAGTCATCCAAGGCCATGGTGCAGGGTCAGGTAGCACTTAGAGGACCATTCTAGAAAGGAGAAATCCATGATTGTTCAGCAACCCCCCAAGAATCTGTTCAGCATATTCTCTCTCTGACTTAATTCTCTCAGTCCATCTTTACTTCATTTATAATTTCCTTACATGAAGGTTGCCATTTGTCAAAGCAACATAAATATATGGATGTTATGTTACCTTATAAAAGTATTAGCCATTACTGATCTCTCAAATAAATATTGGGTTGGCCAAAAAGTGCCTTCAGTTTTTAAGTAAAAATAAAAGACACATTTTTCATTTTTTACCAAGAACTTTATTGAACAATGTATCCACCCTTTTGTTCCACTACCTTCTGCCATTTTTCAGGCAACTTCCTAATTCCACCTTCCCAAAGCTTTTTGTCTTTTTGAGCAAAGAATTGTTCCAGGTGCCTTTTCAGTCTTTCAAGGTATTGAAATTTTTTCCATTAAGAGAATTTTGTAAAGACCGAAATAAATGGAAATCCGAAGGTGCATTGTCTGATGAATACGACAGATGAATTAGAACTTCTCAGCCAAGCTGTAACAGTTTTTGCTGGTCATCAAAGAAACAAATGCAGTCTTGCGTTATCCTGATGGAAGATTATGTGTTTTCTGTTGACTAATTCTGGATGCTTTTCGTCGAGTGCTGCTTTCAGTTGGTACAATTGGGAGCAGTACTTGTTGGAATTAATTGTTTGGTTTCCTGGAAGGAGCTCATAATAGAGGACTCCCTTCCATTCCCACCATATATACAACATCACCTTTGGATGAAGACCGGCCTTTGGTGTGGTTGGTGGTGGTTCATTTCGCTTGCCCCACGATCTTTTCCGTTCCACATTATTGTACAGTTCCACTTTTCATCGCCCGTCACAATTTGTTTTAAAAACGGAATGTTTTTAAAACGTTTTACTTTTAAGTAGAGAAACATATGCGGAAATACGATCAAGGTTTTTTTCGCTTAACTTACATGGAACAGAAACATCAAAGCGATTAACATAACCAAGCTGGTGCAAATGATTTTCAATGCTTGATTTGGACATTTTGAGTATATTGGCTATCTCCTGCCTAGTATAACGTTGACTGTCCTCAATTAATGTCTCTATTTGATCGCTCTCTGGTCCACCTGACAGTGGGGCATCGTCCAGCAAGAAATCTCCAGCACAGAACTTCGCAAACCACTTTTGACACGTTCTATCAGTCAAGGCACCTTCTCCATACACTGTGCAAATCTTTTTTTGCATTTTGGTTGCATTTTTACCTTTCTTGAAATAATACAGCATAATATGCCAAAAATGTTGCTTTTTTTGGTCCATTTTCAATATTAAAATGGCTACACAAAAATTCACCAATTTGCTAAGTCTTTTTTTTAATGCACGCTGATATGACAGCTGTCACATACAACCTAACAAAATTGTTTCGAATGAAGTTGAAGACACCTAAGTGCTACTAGAGCCATCTTAGCGGAGAAAACGAACGAACCTTTTGGCCAACCCAATAGTTTTTTGTGCTACATTAGGAATAAAGACTCCATTAATAATGTGTATGCACACCTTTCTTGTGATGACATCTATGATATGAATCAGCATTTTCAAATTAATACTATCTATTTTTGAGATCTTTTTTTAACTTACAAGTGATCAGAATTTATAGCCAAGTTCAAGGTTGTGGAGATTATTACCAGTAATTGAAGTTTCCCTGAACATATTTTTATAAGTTTTACAATATTGCATATGTTTTTGTTTCTCAGGTCCAATATTTCCCTGTATTCAGTTGTTTCATTACGGCCACTTCCCACAGATTATGTTCCTTCAGTAGTGATGCTTCCTGGTACTTGTCAAACCCAAGGTAATCACAAAATAGTAAAGTAGTTTTTGAAGTGTAATATAATAAACCTAACGTGCAGGATATTTATACTGAAGGCAAAATTTAATGCATTCAATCAAAGTATTTTTTAGCTTATATGAAATATTTTGAATGACTTCATGAATTTATGCAAAGATATAATTGATGTATTGATATCAAATAATATACCAGTGGATTTGAGTCTGGTGATGGGAACTGTAGTTAATATGAGAAAATAAGAAGATGAACTAAATAAATAGAAAGATTTTACAAGGCTATATTGAGTGAACATGTTATGAAATACTAATGGAACTAATTAGTTCTAAATGAACTAATTAGTTCATTTAGAATGAACTAATTTGCTTTTTATGGTAAAAACCTCATTCAGCATTAATTTGTTTTACCTGAAAATTTTTTGTTTTAAGATGTAGAATTATTAGAAGAAACCACAGAACCAAGTGATGAAATGATAGAGTATGACTCCCCAGAACAGTTGAATGAGCAGCTGGTGACTCTGTCACTCCTTCCTGAATCCCGGTGGAAAAATCTTCTAAATCTTGATGTTATTAAGGTAATACTATAGTACACTTAATATTGGCCCCTAAAGACACATTCCCAAAGTATTTTCTTTAGTAGGTAGCTTCCCTTACTTTGAGGGCTTTAGGAGGAGCAGGTGATGCCTAAGGTAGTAAAGAGAATACCATTTGGTTAAATGCTGTTTAATCTAGTATGATTATCACAAGATTTTCTCTCTATATATATATCAACTTTGAGGGCAATCAAGGACCTTTGGATATAGCAAAAGTATAGCCTGCAACTACAGAGCTATTAGAAATTGGATGTTTTAAGCCCAGCCTAATAAATTACTTTTTTAACTTCTGAAATAAGAAAAAAAAAAATATTGCCATAATGTGTGATGTTTCTATTCCTAGACATTTTGGGGATTAGAATACTCTCACTGGCCTTTTTAAAAGTAAGCTTCAGTCACCCTTTATCATACCACAAGCTGCTCTGTCAGCTATAAGAAGATATGCTGTTGGGTTCAGGCACATAATTTAATATGAACTAGGTACGGGGTAGTGTCCTGAGACAGCAGTGGAAAAAAACTTAGGCCCTTTGTCCTTGAGTTTACAATTTTACATTAAAAATGGACAATTATGGCATAAATTACTTTTTAAAAGTATGTTTCATGACCCCTATTTGTGAGTAGCAAAATCAATTGAAAGGTATAGAGGTATAGACTAAAGTAGAAAATTTCAGAGACTGTCCTTTGATAATTAGGGTAAGTATTATTTTATGAAATGCATACAGTCACCAGAGGTTATGTGTGTACTAAGTGTACTAAGTCACATTAAGGGCTGGCATTAAAAAAAAGTGTAAGGAACACTGACATAACTATGACAAGGTGCAGCAAGTATTTTTGTAACTAATAACAAGAAAAGTTGTGTGTGTCTTGGGTAAGAAAAGAGAGGTTTTCACATGTTAATTTGACTCACAGAATTTAAAAGTGCTTCTTTTTACTTGCTCACTTTTTGAAAGATTGGGCATCAGCATAAAGGTATGCTGTCCTGGCACATAGTTATGAAATCTCTCCATTATGTTGTCTAGTTTGTCAGCCGTAAAGGGACAAAATATCTGCTGCTCAGATATAGTTTGTTCTGCATAAAAACATCCAGAAACCTGAGTGAATGCTCTTTATGAGAGAAATATGCTAACACCTCCAATATTTTTATTTCCTTCTGAATGAAAGAGGTTAGAATTTTTATTTTTGTCCTATGGGTAAGTTTTCTACTTCAGGTTTTCTTTATGAAATTAGGTGATTTCCAGAGCCCTGTGGAACTTCTCCAAAGCCCTTTGTTTTTATTTACAACTCAGTGACTGTCTGCCTTCTAACTCAAGAACAATGAGTTAGAAGAGTAACTGTGACTTTTACTGTACTTTCTACCATCACAAAGAAGGGCTGTGCTTTCATTGCTAGTGGCAGTGCTTCGTCTGGCTTTCATGTAACAACTTTCTTTTATGCTGTGCCTCCAGGAGGCCACAAGTATCCCGGGCTTTCTTTCAGAAAGCAACTCCCCAGGGTTCCTAAAGAATGGAAGAGGAATAGTGTAAGGTAAAATTGTGCGACTCCTTTATTAGGCAGTTTACCATATGCTCCTGAGATAGTGATCTGTAACAATGTAGTCACCAAAACTGAATTCTGTCAGTGGGAATTCCAAGAGAGGTTTTCATGATAGAATTTTGCTAACACTTGAAATATTTTATAAATGAGCAACAGTATTCTCTTTTTAAAAGCACAAAGTACGAAGGAAAAATAAAAATTCCAACAAAATAGAAGAATGAGGGCCATGCTTCACAGAAAAATTTCACCAAATTACTTCTAATGGTGGAGTCTAACTCTGGCTCCAAATTTCTTTTGGAGAAAAGATATTTGAAAAACTGTTGAGCATTTATGTAAATTTTGCTTTCTAGCCCATTTTGCAGAAAAGGTTGTATTTCAATAAAAACGAAGTTCAAAATTACTTGTTACTTCTTCACGTAAATATTCATGTTTCAGGAAAATGGGCTGTTTGTGCCTTAGAGCTTCTCCTGAACCCTGTCATTTTCCTTCTGCCGTATCAGCAAGAATACTGGAGGTTTGCACTGGGAATCCCAGTTTAAGGATATCTGTGGTTTTGGTTGGTTGGGATTTTATTTTAGCAAACTAGTCTGAAAAAGTTTCATCCCTTTCTTTACTTTTTGGACTTTTAAAAAATTAAGTGGGAATTAAATACTTAATTACTTACTAGTCTTTTTTCCTTTTCTCATTTTCTCTTAATTAGAAAAAGAATAAACCAAAGGAACCACCGAAAGTACCCAAATCAGCACCGTTTTTTATTCCAACAGTTCCTGGCCTTGTACCCAGGTATGCTGCACCTGAACAAAATAGTGATCCTCAACAGGTAAGAAGCAAATTGGAGGGAGCATTCTAAGTATATGGGGTGCGTATTTTGTGTTTTACATTTGTAGTTTTAACCAAGACCCAGTTTTACAGATATAGAGTAAATTACTGATAGCTTTTAATTACAAACTATAAATTTTCTGTTACATTTATGGTTTTTGAATAATGTTTATTTGTTTTTGTTTAAGTCTAAAGTGGTAAATCTTGGAATTTTGGCTCAAAAATCAGATTTCTGCTTGAAACTTGAGGAAGGACTGGTAAATAATAAATGTAAGTTAAATTATAAAATATTTTACCAAGTATTTCAGTTTATTTTACTTTATATGAAGAGAATTGAGTGAAATATTAGATTTCTCAGTAGCTGAAAGTAAAAACCAGAAGGACTGAAATTTTGGTTTTAATCTTAAGTAGTTTTAGCTTTGTGTTGTATTAAATGAGTGACACTAAACTCAGATGATATTGAGATTATAATAATCTTTTGAGAACCTTTCATTCTTTATGGAAAATTGGATTTTTTTTTTGCTTTTGTTTTTACTTACAAATACAGTTTGCAATATAGTTTGCAATACAGCAGAGACTTTTGTCTTAGATAATTTCAGATATTACCAAATTATCACATAAAAAGGTAATTTTAAAATTTATTGAGTGTTTTAATAGATTTAAACTTTGAAAGCTACGGACTGTAGCTAATAATGATAGTAAGAGCTGTAAGCAATTAACAAAAATCACATTCTCCTGTTTGACTTATACTCTTGTTTTCTGATCCAAATGCTTTGTTTTCATACCACTGTCACTCGAGTGCACACTGGCAAAAGTCAAAGAATGGTACTGATGGCTAAAGAACCGCAGGATTAAACAGGGAGTAACTTGTATTTATGGGGGAACAAAGAAAAAAAGCACTACTATTTAATAATATACTGAAGAACAGAAAGTAAAACGTATTAGACTTTTGTCATTGGTGTTCTTCCTTTTCAGAAAGCTAAAAGCATAGTCATTGCCATTGTAATATCAAATACCTCGTATAAAATTTGTAAGTGTATAGAATATGTTTTCATAGGATGCGTATGAAACAAGAGTGCTTACTTCTAGGGAAATGAAGTAGATTTGGGGTGGGTAAGATTAGGGTGGAGTCTTTCCCCATATATATTTCTGTAGTGTTAATGTTTCTTAATAATCATGTGGTATTTTTATAACGATAGAAAGAAAGAAAAATAAATTCCCTCACCTCATCTTGTTCCCAGTGGCAAATACTATTAATAACTTGGCGTATACCTCTGTAGCCTTCTTACATTTGGATTTGTTTGACTGATTCATGAGCATATTAAAATGTCTGTTGCTAGGTATTAATTAGATTTTAACAGCCTTAATAGGAAAAAAGCTTACTGAAAATGCAAAACAAAAATTAAGCCATAGGGCTTCCCTGGTGGCGCAGTGGTTGAGAGTCCGCCTGCCGATGCAGGGGACACGGGTTCGTGCCCCGGTCCAGGAGGATCCCACGTGCCTCGGAGCGGCTGGGCCCGTGAGCCATGGCCGCTGAGCCTGCGCGTCCGGAGCCTGTGCTCCACAATGGGAGAGGCCACAACGGTGAGAGGCCCGCGTACCGCAAAAAAAAAAAAAAAAAAAGCCATAGAAGTAATTTCTTGTGCAATTTAAGTATATGTTGGGTTTGAAATGTAAACTAGTTTCCTAAAAGAAATGACTGTAGATAATAACTGGATTCTTATTAAAACTTAATGTAGATGAAGCTGCTCTTAACCTTCTGAAAGAATTAGGCCCGTCAGGAATTGAAACAGAGCTGCGAAGTTTGTCTCCTGATTGTGGTGGTTCTGTAGAAGTTATGAAGAGCTTCTTGAAAATGATCAGGATGATGTTGGACAAAAAGCGTGACTTTGAGTTAGCCCAGGCATACCTTGCGTTGTTTTTAAAGGTAAGTCTAATATATAAAAAAGTACTTCGCAGCCTGCCCTCCTCTAGAGTAGTGCTGTCTGATAGAACTTGCTGCAAAGATGGAAACGTTCCATATCCACACTTACCATGTGTGGCTACTGAGCACTTGAATTGTGGCTAATGTGACTGAGAAACTGAATTTTTCACTTTATAGAAATTTAGTTAATTTAAATAGCTTCCTGTGCCTAGTGACTACCATACTGGATGGCTGGATAGTGCAGCAGCTTGTAATTGTTTTTTGTTGGCTTTTGTTTTTTAACACAATTTTGACTCAACCCCCTGACTTTTATGTGTCATCCATTTGATCAGTATACTAAACTTAACTTTTTAATGTAGTTACATTTTGGCAGACTTTTTTTTAATGATCATGAAGAGAGTCAGGTTTTATGTTTATTTTTTGTTTTGTTTTTTCTACTGTTGAAATCAAAATATTTACTTCTATCCTGGTTGAAGGAGTTTCAAATGATTTGACAATGACAGTTGCTTTTATGACTAATATAATAGAGAACTCATGTTTATCTCAGTAGTATAATGTATTGAAGGAGGTAGATGATGCTGATTTTCAGTAACAGCAGATATGCTTCTTCATTTATCCCATAAATATCTAAAACAACTTTTCACTTGATGCAATTATTTTAAATTATTTGAAAAGTAGTATGTAGAATTAAAAATAGAAATGCCATAAATTGTTTCTATATTCTTTCCCAAATTTACCTTCCTGAATATGTTTACTTAAATCTTTAGAAAATAAAGCAAAGGGCCCATAGTTCATTCATTAACAATGGGTTACGATGAAAGGAGAAACTTAAAAGAAGCACAGAAATACAGATTTAGTGTTAGAACTGGGACCTTGTTTCTGGATCTGTATCAGGACTGTCCTTACGTGGAGGAGAGTGATGACCACTTGAATTCTATTAAAAGAGTGACAGTACCATAAAGGAACTCATAATAGAGGAGAGGGCGATGGGAGATGGTAATAAACCAGCATTTAAGAAAAAAAATTAAGAATAGTACCTTCTGAGCTTCCTTGGTAAAACAGTTAAATCCAGAATAAACAAAATTTTAATTTTCTTAAATTAAATGTTCAACTATCGTTTTTCTTTTCAGTTACACCTTAAAATGCTTCCTTCAGAGCCAGTACTTCTAGAGGAAATGACTAAGTTGTCATCACAGTTGGAAGAAAACTGGATCCATTTACAATCACTCTTCAATCAAAGCATGTGTGTTTTAAATTACATTAAAAGTGCTTTGTTGTAAAAATACACTTAGGTGACTAAATAAAGACTTTTATATTAAAGAGATTGAGTTTAACTTACAACCTTGTTTTCCAAGTGTCAATGTGAAAAGAAAATAAATGCCAGCACTACCAACTAGTCCGTCATTCTCCACTTTAAATGCTGAATACTTTCTTGAAATAAAAGTATACCTACTTTTTGTTTTAAAGATATAAAGAGTATTCTCAAATGATTTATTTTCTGAGTCTCTTCACATCAGTTACTTGGATATGACTTCTTTTGAATTGTCATCACCAAGCTCGTGTTTTTTGAATATTTGTAACATATGAGGTACGCTGGGTGTTTAATGTAGAATATTGCTGAACTACACTGAAGATAAAACCAATACATAAAACAGTTATGAAAATGCCTTCATGTTATAAGGTAAAAAGGCATGTTTCCTTCCTTGGTGGCCTTTGATGAAAACACAGTTAGAGCCGGAAGGTGTGTCAGACAGTGCAGCCCTCTTGCATTGCAGAAGAGCAAACTGCTGAGGTCTGTTCAGGATCTCAGAAACAGATCCAGATTTTCTAACACTGGCCTAGTTAGTCTTTTCTACATTGTAGCCTTTCTAAAGGAACTTATTCTTTTATTATTTTATATGAGAGGCACTTTCACAAGGCAACTTGCTATAGGAGGCAGTTGAACAGATACCTAGGATAGGTGAGGGAAATTCCGAATTCCATTGAAGATATCCTTCAAAGGTTTTTCTTCCCCACTGATGACCTTTTTATTTGGGAAGAAACTGCTGACTGTACTTTTCTGTCATAACCATTGTGAAACCAGATAGTTCTGGTACTTTTTTTTCTCATCGTCATTGTTTTTGTGGTTCAAGATTTCAATATGTGAATGAAAAGTAAGCAGTTCTCAAAAGCACACTGTTCTAAAAACTTGTTAGTTTTTACACTCAAAAGTAGTGTCATTCGTAAAATTCAGCTGGTTGTATTTGAACACCAATACTATTCTATTCTGATTAGGATGTAGCTTTACAGAATAATCTCCAGAAGGAATAGTCCTCACAAGGAGATGATCAACGATAACTTTAACTATCATAGTGTTTTTGTTTAATGGTGAAAGGTAGAATTAGTAAATGGCTGAGGAAGTAAGCCAATCTGGTTTGGTACTTTGTTCTTTTAGAAATGTATATAAACTTAAGCCATCGACTTAAATGTTAATAATGATGTAAGTTGTAACTTTAAAAACTGTATTTCCCCTTGCCCCAAATACTATATTCTAAAGATACGGCAAAATTTCAGTATACAATTAAGTACTATGTGAAGACTGTAAATATCTAAAACAAGAGTTCTAAACTGAAATTGTATTGCTGTGACAAATCTTGAACTGAGCTTTCTTTTTCAGGTGAGAATAGAGGAGTTGAGTGTATTGTTTTTATTGGAGATAGCTTTAGATAGTATTAAAGCATCATTTTGGCAGGTAATCTTCTAAAACCTTTCCTGTATGTTTGCCATCGAGGAAGGGAGGGAGAAAGAAATACAAAGGATAATTTTTTGTGTATATTTTTTCTTAAAATGTATCATTCTGTGCATATTGCTTTTTCTTTACATTTTAAATTACAAGTGTAGTATATGACTACATTTTACTTGTAAAATCATCAAAGACGAGTCTTTTTTTTTGTCTTTTTTTTGTGGAGCACAGGCTCCGGACGCACAGGCTCAGTGGCCATGGCTCACGGGCCCAGCCACTCCGCGGCATGTGGGATCCTCCCGGACCGGGGCACAAACCCGTGTCCCCTGCATCAGCAGGCGGACTCTCAACCACTGCGCCACCAGGGAAGCCCGACAAGTCTATTTTTTATAGTCACCTTCAATCCCAATACCTTCCCTAGAAGTAACAGTTGTTAACCTTCCATCTAGACCTTTTTCTGTGAATATATATACATGTTATGTATAGCTACAGGAAATAAAATGTATAGCTTCAGTTTTTACATAAATATATGTATATCATTCAACTTTTCTACGTGATTTCTTTACTTGAGTATAATCTTACCTAATCTCACCTGTTTACATTTATATAGTGTGCCACAAGCTATTTATAATGGACACTAGGGTAGTTTCCCTTTCGTTTTTTGTTTACAAACAATGCTGAAAGAATGTCATCCTGTATGACTATGTGCATATAGGGATTTCTCTAGTGTGCCTAAGCTTTGAATTGCTGGGCCAGAGTCCGGCAGTTTTAAAGAGATACTTCATTTGGCTTCCAAAATGACTGGTAGCAATTTACAGCTTCTCAGCAAGGAATGAGTACCTGCTCCCCATATCCCTAATCAAATCCCATTTGATTTAGATTTTTAAATTTTTTTTATTAATCTAATAGGTAAAAATTACCATTTTTATTGTTTATATTAAAAAAACTGACTAGTGAAGATGGGCATCTTTTCATATATTTATTTTACACATGTGAATTGCCTTTTGCCAACACTGCTCATTCTTCTGTTGAATGATTTGTCTTTTTATCTCATGGATTTGTTAGGAGTTTTTCATATAGTTTGGATAGATATTAGTCTTTTATGACTGCTGCAATGTTTTCTCCCAGTTGGTCACTTAAGTCTTTAGCTTTACTTTTGGTGTCTCTTTTAAAGAGATGTTTTATATATAGTATTGGTAAGTATTTTTATGACTTTTATTTCAAAATATAGAGCATATTCTGTATTTTCTTTTAAGATAATTATGTATGCATCCAGATCTCCATCTGGAATTGATTTCTGTGAAGAGTGCAAGGAACAGAGCTACACTTATTCAAAAGTCCAAAAACCATTTGAAGTTCATTTTTACTGATTTGGGATGCTGTTTTATTATGTGTTAAATTCTCTAATTAAGGTATTTAATATTCCTAATAAATAATGCATTGCTTATAGTTTCTGGTATGTTTTCAGAGATGGGGTAAAGCATTCCTAATGTTTTTCAAAAATTTTTGGCTATTGGTGAGCATATCTTTTTGAAGTTTTGATTTTAGTTGCAGTAAATTTATAGTATTGATTTGAAAAGAATTACAGTTGACCCTTAAACAGGCGGGGGTTAGGGGTGCCAACCTTCCATGCAGTCAAAATCTGAGCATAATTTATAGTTGGCTCTCCATACCTGTGGTTTCTCCATATCTGGTTCTGCATTGTGGATTCAACTAACTGCAGATTTTGTAGTACTGTAGTATATACTACTGAAAAAAAACATGTATAAGTGAACCCACACAGTTCAAACCCATGTTGTTCAAGGGTCAACCATACAATAGTATTTCTTTTTGAGAAAACTCTATATCTTCGTTAAACCAGGAGTGGGCTTCTCTTGATTTCATAAGATTTCTTTATATAATCATACATTTTTTTGACAGACTCTTTTCTGGGGATTTTATTTTTGTTGTTACAGTGAAATATACTTTTCCTAATATATTTTATAGTTGGTTATTGCTGTCATGGTAAAAGCAATTTGCTTTTTATGTGTTGATCTTTTATGACACTGCAGAACTCTTAAAAAAGTTTGTCAGTATAGGGCTTCCCTGGTGGCAGAGTGGTTGAGAGTCCGCCTGCCAATGCAGGGGACATGCGTTCGTGCCCCGGTCCGGGAAGATCCCACATGCCGCGGAGCGGCTGGGCCCGTGAGCCATGGCCGCTAAGCCTGCGCGTCCAGAGCCTGTGCTCCACAATGGGAGAAGACCCAACAGTGAGAGGCCCGCATACCGCAAAAAAAAAAAAAAAGTTTGTCAGTATAGTCTTAGAAAATCCAAGAGAATCCCATCTTCTTCAATTGATTGGCCTTTATTTTCTATCCAGTATTCATATTTCACTTGTTTTTAGTTAGGATTGCTTTAGCAATCTGGCATAGAATGTTGGATACTAGCAGTGGTTAGCAGAGATTTTTGTGTTGTTACTGACTTTAGTGGAAATGCTTTTAGTGTTCCATCATTAAGGATAATGTATGCTCTGAATTTCTGGTAGATATCCTTGGTTAAGTTCTACTTTATTATTAATTTGCTACTTTAAAAAATTTAAACTAGAGGTATAGAATTTTATCAAGTGTTTTTTTCAGCATATATTGGAAAATCAATATCTTTAATTGTTGTAATTGGTGAATTTTATTCAAAGATTTTTAACACAGAGTCATTTTTATTTCTGGAATAGAACTTTTTATAAGTGAGATGAAACTGGTGCATTTGTTTGCTTCATGGAATTCAGCTATCCTTGATATATTTTTTTAAACTTGTCTAGTCAAAAGGGAAAAAAACCTTGCATAAAGTCTTATTATATGGTGATTTTTACCTACTTAATTTTTTCTGTGGTTACTGAACTAATTGGACTTCCTGTCTCTTCTCAAGCCAATGTTGGTAAACTATATTTTCCTTACAAATCATGACTTTAATCTAGATTTTCAAATTTATTAGTGTAAATTATATTAGGATTATGCCTTTTTATTAATTACTAGGTTGCAAGTGACCAAAACCTAACTCAAATACATGAGTATCTGCAAAGTCCAGGGATAAAAATTGGCTTTACCTATTGATAGATCCATGGGTTCCATAGGAATTAGTCCCTTTCTCCATCTCTCCTTTTTATTCTCATTATGGTTAACTGTTCAGTCAAGATCTCTCTTCATTCCCTGATTCATCAGATATTTATTGAGAACTTAGTATGTGCCAGCATCTTATTTGTGCTGGGAATATAAGCGATCAAAACTTGAAAAAATACAGCTGCCAGCAGCTCTGAATTTACATATTTTCCACTTAAACTAATTAGAAAGTGATTATCTTTAAACAAATCCTGAAACAGAATTTCAATGAGCCTACTTAAACTTTGAACCATAGTTAAGGGTGACTGTATGGTGATATATTTAGGCAGAGGGAGAGAGGCCTGTAACAGATCACAGTTTTCCATGACTGTGGGTGACATCTGGAGAGCTCTGAACTTTCCACCTGTTCACGAGAGGAACGAGGGAGAGCTGAGAGTATAGTGTCCACAGGCTGGCTGCAGAGCCACTGTGACACAGTGAGCCATGACCCCATAGGAGAGTGTAACTGCACCATCCTAGCCCAGGGTGCAGCTGGAAGGCTAGCTGAGACTTAAGACACAGGCTAAATGGGATGACAGTGGTGGGTGGAGGGAGAAGGAAAGGATCTGGCAACACAGAAGGTTTTTATCCACATGCCATCTTGGAAAGGAGA